TCTGCATGCATTCTTTCTCAGCATCTTGCTGAAAACAGAAAAAGCTACCCAGCATATACTGACATTTGAGCTGTTTCTCTTACTGCTGTTGCCCCAGGTCTTCAAAAAAAATTTTTTAAATATGTGTGTGCACGTGCACACACACCACACACATACATATATTCATAATGGATAGCTTAGTTCACAATAGTGTGGCAGAGACATTTGGACATTAATAATATACAGAACATTAAGGTATTTTAAAGTTATAAGTATATCAGGCACATAAACAGCAATAAACTGAAATGAGGCCATGATCTTTCCAGGAACCTGTCCCTGCCTGTGTTTGGGCTTGGAGCCCCTCTGACATACAGAAGTACTATGGAGGAACACTTAACTATCAATCTTTTACAGAGTACTCAGTTTCTTAGGGACAAGACCCAGATTTGTTCAGCCTATTGTTCCATATAAGTCCCAGCATCTAGCATGATGAGGATACAATAAATATGGGCTGAGTCACATTAAATTGTCTTAGAAAAAAATCAGATATGTTTGACAATGACAAATTTACAGAATCCAAAGGTAGATGTTTAAAGCTGGGGAAATGAGTGAGTTGATAAAATGCTTCCTGTGCAAGCATAGGACCTGAGTTTGGATCCCCAGCACCCACACAGAAGCACACACCTATGATCTCAGAGCTAGAGAGGTGGACACAGGTTCATCTCTGGGTCTGGCAAGCTAGGTTCAGTGTGAGATCTTGTCTTTAACAATTAGGTGGAGAGCAATCCAGGACACCTGACATTAACTTCTGCCTCCATATACACATATGCACACACACAAATAAGCACACACAGACACATACACGAACACAAAAAGGCAGAAGTTCAACAAACAAACAAACATCTAAGCTGGGCATGGTTGTGCACACCTTTAATCCCAGCACTTGGGAGGCAGAGGCAGGAGGTCTTTATGGGTATGAGGCCAGCCTAGTCTACATATTGAGTTCCAGGACAGCCTGAGCTACATAGTGAGAGCCTATATCCAAAAAAAAAAAAAAAGACATCTGAAAAAGTTTTTCTTGCTGTGTTTTCTTAATGTTATCACATACCCTTGGAAATACAACCCAGTTTTGTCTATCTTACTAGAGAGGACGTTAAAAAAAAAATATTGGGTTGGGACTAAAGAGAAGGCTCGGCAGATAAGAACATTGGCTATTCTTTCAGAGGACTAGAGTTCAATTCCCAGAGCACACATAGTGGCTATAATTCTAGTTCCAGGGAATCTGATACACTCTTCCGACTTCAGAGGGTACCTTTTGAGGTAAAGGCTGTGCTTTTGCACTGACAGTAGAATGTTTCCCTAGCATACACAGACCCTGAATATGATTCACATATATCAAGCATGGAGGGACATGTCTGTAGTCAAAACACTCAGAAGTAGAGGCAGGAGGACCAGAAGCTTAAGGCCATCAGCTACATTATGAGTTAGAGGGTAGCCTGGAGAGCATGTCTCAAACAAACAAACAAAAATAGGGGGATGGAGAGACAGCTCAGTGGTTAAGAGCACTTGCTGCTCTTTTAGAGAACCTGAGTTCAGTCCCAGTAGCCATATCAGGTAACTCCAGTTCCAGAAGATCTGATCTCCTCCAGCCACTTCATGCACATGGCGCACATGCACACACACACACACACACACACACACACACACACACACACACACACATACACACTCAGGTATACACATACACATAAATAAATAAACATCTTTGAATTAAACAACAAAGTCTTAAAAAAAAAATAAGGTGGAAACTCTATGACCCCTGACCCTCCTGCCTGGACATCAATGACCAAGATGATTCATGCTACTCCAAAGCAATACAGATAAACTCTATCTCAAAAAACAAAAAACAAAACAACAACAACAAAGATGGTGCGTGCTGAAGCCTCTTCTCACCCACTGTTCACTTTCAATTTAACAACATTTGGCCCATCCATGTACTTTACTATCAAAGGATGCTAGATGCAACTGTTCCAACCAGAAAGTAGCTCAAAAACAGAGAAACTAACAAAGAAATTGGTGTGGAGAATGTGGAGCTTTTCAGAGCATAAACTGGCACTGTTGTTTAACACGCCCCAGACCTTAACACACTGACACTATGATGGAAATACCATTCAGGCCCTGGGACCCAGCACATAGGCAGCAACATCTACCAAAACAAAGACCTAATCCTTCAAAATCCATAGTTCTGGGAAAGTCACTAAATGGGGTGTGTCAATCCAGGATGTGTGTGTGTGTGTTTTTTTTCCTTAAAATCCCACTCTAAGAAAAGGTAGGGACTGTTCTTGGGTCCTGAATACCTAGTGTAGTCACCAGCCAGCTAATGAAAGACTTTCTATTGCTTTGAACCCATGCGGTCTTCTCTGGTGGATAGCTCACAACATGTTGTTCCTTACCCAGCAACCCTCTTAATGAGTATGCTTGGGAGTCACGCAGGCTTAGTTGACACCATTACAGAGCTGACAGACATCTCCTTTATCAGAAAGCACTGGTTTGAGAAGTCCAGACCTCTGCAGCCTCCAAAACATATTCCTATCTCCAAGCCTCCAGGCTATGGGAAAAGTTAATCACCATGGCTACAGCAAAAGAAGCAGTCTGTCTGTCATATTAACTAACCTTCAGTCTTCAACAATGGTGAGTGGTATGAAGAGTTTTTAAAACTGGCTGCTGTGGTTTCTAACTTGCCACAAAGCCAGAGCTTTCCATTATCTTATAAAGACTCCTTTCTACAAAGCTGCTCACGTCCTGACCATGAAGCTACCTACAGCCATGAGGAAAGCTCAGTTTATGAGTCTCTGGGATTGAACCAGATACTGATCACAGCTGCTAAGTCATGGTGATGGCCCCTGACTAGGCTAGAATGAAAAGAATGCCTTTAAGATTTCCCTTCAAGCAGCCTGCTCCAAAACAAAGACACACAGTCTTGAATCTCATCTTAAACAATGAAGATGTGGTGAGGTATGTAGACCTGTTAGAAGTTGCCCTGGAAACGGATGGGCTTTCAGGAAGTGACCTAAAAAAAGAGTGTGTGTTGGGGGGGGGGGGTTGGAGATGCTAAGCCTTGCCTGGTGGCACATGTCTTTAATCCGAACACTCAGTAAGACAGAAGTAGGCAGATTCTTAGAATTTGAGGACAGCCTGATATACATAGCAAGTTCCAGAACAGCCAGGACTACATAGAGAAACCCTGTCTCAAAAATAAATGAAAACAAAACAAAAAAAGGAATGTGAGAATGCCTCATGTGTGTGTGGGGTATATGCTAATTCTATACCAGGAGAAATTCAAGAAGATGAAATAAAAATCTAGCCTGTGCAACAGTGGTTCTGCTCCCCACAATGGTGAAGGGGTCAGGAGGTTTTACCTCATGTTTGTTTAGAGCAATAGTAAAGATCCTTTCCATGATTCATTGATCTAGTTTGCCATACAAGGTTATCTGTCAGTGGGAAGAGAGTGGTCCAAGTGCTCTTAAAACACACAAAGCCATTTAAAGCCAGCCTGGTCAGTAGAGTGAGTTCCAGGACAGCCAGGACTACATAGAGAAACCCTGTCTAGAAAGAAAACAAAAAAAGTATGTCTATAACTACAATTTTGCAATATAACTAGGAATTGATATCTTGGGGGGGGGGTAGATTCTGGATAGATGGCTCAGCACTTAAGAGCACTAGCTTGTAGAGGGCCTGGTTTCTGTTCTCGTCATTCTCATGATGGCTAACAACTACCCATAATTTTAACCCAGGGGATTCAAAGCCTTCTTGTGACTTCAGCTGATACCAGGCACACATGGGTGCACATATATACATGCAAGTAAAACATGTATATAGATAAAAGAAAAAAATCTAGCCAGGCAGTAGAGGCACACACCTTTAAGCCCAGCACTCAAGAGGCAGAGACAGGCAGATCTCTGTGAGTTTGAGGCCAGCCTGATCTACAGAGCGAGTTCTAGGACAATCAAGGCTACACAGAGAAACCCTGCCTCAAAATAACTCTAAAAATAAACTTAAAAGTCAAAGAGGGGAAGGAGAGATGGCTCTGTGGTGATATGTTGTTAATGATTTAATAAAGCAACTGGAGAGCAAAATGCAAAGCTAGCCACAGCCATAGGGCCAAGCAGTGGTGACACACACCTTTAATCTCAGCAGCCACACAGTTAGTCCTAGAAGTGGTGGCACATACCTGTAATCCCAGAACTCAGGAGACAAGCAGGTGGATCTCTATGAGTTCAAGACTACCCTGGGCTACACGAGAGTGAATCAAAGCTAATACCTTTAATCTGAGGATTTGAGAGGTATACAAGGAAGAAGCAAAGGGTCACATGTGATACTTTGTTTCCAGACAGGCAGAGCATTCAGCCTGAAGTTTTCTAGAAAGAGCATTGCACTCTGAGGATTCATGGAGACAGGATCACCCATTTCCGTATAGGTAGAGGTAAAAGCTACTGGCTCGGCTGCTTTGCTTCTCTGATTTTCAGCTTGAACCCCTATATCTGTCTCTGGGTTTTTATTAATCGTGTTACATGGCTCAGTTGAGCACTTGAGTTCAATCCCACTGTCAGTATTAAAGAGTATTGCCAGTGTGCTATGCCTTTAATCCCAGGGTGGGCCAGTCTGATTTACACAAGTTCAAAGACAACCAGGGCTACTAGTGAAACTCTGTCTCAAAGAATTAAGAAAGAAAAAAAGCTGGGTGTTGGTGGTGCTTGCCTTTAGTTCCAGTACTCAGGAGGCAGAAGCAGGCAGATCTGTGAGTTCAAGGCTAACCTGGTCTACAAAGCTAGTTCTAGGACAGCCTCCAAAGCAATACAGAGAAATCCTGTCTCGAAAAACCAAAATAAAAAGAAAGAAAGAAAAATAAATAACAACAACAATAATAATAATAAAGACAAACAAAGGTGAAATAATTGTTATGATTTTGTGTTTTAAAATATCACAGTCAGAAATCATACCACCCCACATACTTTACTTACTCAGTGTGTTGTGGTCAGTATGGACACCTTGAATAACAGATGTTCTGAGTAGCAGCTCAACATCAGAACCCATTTTCAACATCTGTTAGGAAAATCAAACAGAGTAACCCCTGAGTGGTTTGCAGGACTGTACTGGTTTTAAAAACCAGTTTTATAGGTCACTTTCAGATAATGTGGCTTTTAGCTTTGTGCAGCTGTAAAGAGTAGTATAGAAAGTACAAACATTTCAGATACCCTTCATTTTTATGTATATATACTATATTTTGTTAAAAAACAGATTTAGAACTTTTTTGTTATAATATGCATTTTTAAAAGTGTTGGGGGCTGGGCATGTTGGCGTACACCCTTAATCTTAGCACTTTGGAGGCAGAGGCCAGCCTGGTCTACATAGTGAGTTCTAGAATACCAGAGCTACACAGTGAGACCCTGTCTCAAAATTAATTAATTAACTAATTAATTAATTATGGGAGACTTTCATTTGTATTTTCTCTTTTACCAATCAATTCTTCATACCGTAAGTATCCCCACAGATAATCTTTCCTTACTTGTTTTAAAGGCAGTCCTCAGTATGTAGCCCAGGCTGGCATTGGATTTGTGATTTTCCAGCTTCAGCCTCTTGAGTACTAGAATGACAGGCACACCCCCACCATGCCCAGCCCTGCTCTGCACTGCATTTCCTAAGGGTGCTTCCCTACCTAAAGGTTCCCTCTGAAGTGCTGCACCATGAACACTCCTTATCCTAAATCACTTGCCTCAAGTGAAGAAAGAAAGCTATGGCTTCTGCCACGGTTCAGCTGCCCTGGTCTTGACTAGGGCTGCTACTGTGTTCTCTTCCCAGGGGCCCATGTTATCTCAGCAGCTAGGAGACAATCCTGAGGGGAGCCACAGCAAGCAAGTGGAGGTTGTCTACAGCTGTGGAGGCTCTCACTACGGCACGATGGCTTTCCTACACAACTCTCCATTCCCACTGTCCTCTCTTTACCAAGAACGTTTACACAAGCTTTACTACAATCGAAGTCTATTACTGCACCTCTTGTATTTTCTCTGGAGAGGCCTCATTTTTATGTTTTTTGAATTCTTCATTTATTTTTACTCTGGCTGCTAGAGAGAGAAAAAAATACATATAATTAATACTTAAGATTCTTACATGTTATTCAGTGATACTCATTATGAATTTCTATTTCTCACATAAAACAAAGCATGAGAAATGTGTTATGTGCCAAGCATGGTATGGCACACCATAACAGCAGCATTTAGGAGAATGAGGCAGGAGGATTTTTGAGTTTGAGGTCAGCTTGTGCTATATACAGTGAGGAGGAGGAGGAGGAAAAGAAGAAGAAATGTATTAACCACTCTCTTGGGTGAATCTATAAAAATAACTCAGTATCCTAATATTCTGGTCCTCTGCCCTTTTCTTTTCAACTTTTTTTTTTTTTTTCCTTTTTTTCCTTTTTGAGACAGAGTCTCTTTCTATAGCTCTGACTGACCTGGAATTATATAGACCAGGCTGGCCTCAAAGGCACAGAGATCCTCCAGCCTTTAAGGCCACCATGCCTGGCTTCTTTTCAACTTTATTTGTGTGCCTCCAGAATTGCTGGATTCTAAGAAGTCCAAATCCAAGTATGTCTCTTTTTTCTCTAAATCTAAACATTTAAAGTAACACCTTGTTTTATTTTGTTTTGAGAAAGGGTCTCACTGTAAAGCCCAGGCTGTTCTTGAACTTGTGAGCCCTCTGCCTCAGCTTCTAGAGTGCTGGAGTTACATGCATGTGCTTTATGAAGATGGTAAGAGCCAGTGCAAACAATATGTAACCTATACCTGCACACACATATGCATCAGTACAGAGGATTTGATCCCGAGCACTGAAGCTGATGTAAAAGTGAATGATGAAAGCAAAGTTGCTAGGTGTGGTAGCTAGGTGTGGTGGCACATGCTTTTAACTAAGCACTGGGGGGGGGGTTAGGGAGGGTGGGCACAGAGACAGGAAGTGCTCTGTGAGTTTGAGGCCAGCCTGGTCTACATGGTGAGTTCTAGAACAGGTAGGACTATAAAGCAGGCTGTGTTTCAAACAATAACAAAAAAACTTTTAGGCTCGAATATTCCACCTACATTGCAGCAGCTTTACCTATTCTAATTGACAATCTATATGAAGTCCTTAGTAAATATACAACAATGTTGGCTAAAGAAACAAGATATACCATGTTGACTGAAAGAAATAGTCATGGAAGCCTCCTTCAGTGCTCATTTTCAGTATGTAAGGTGGTTAAGAGTCTAGACCTAGGGTTGGAGAGATGGCTCAGTGGTTAAGAGCACTAACTGCTCTTCCAGAGGTTCTAAGTTCAATTCCCAGCAACCACATGATAGTTCACAACCATCCATAATGAGGTCTGGTGCCCTCTTCTGGCCTGCAGGGATACATGCAGATAGAACACTGTATATAATTAATAAATAAATATTTAAAAAAAAAGTCTGGTCCTTGTGGAGGCTGGGAGATGGCTCAGTGATGGCTCCAGTAATCCATCATCACCCTCTTCTGGCTTCCCAGGACACCAAGCACCCAAGAGGGTACAGATATACATGTAGGTAAAACACCCATACACATAAATAAAAATAAACCTTTTTTTTAAAGTCTGGCTTTTGGAATCAGACTGCTTAAGATAGCTAATGACATGCAGGAAATCTTTTTCATATTTTGTCAGTTTTCTCATCTACAAAAATTGGAATTATACTATAATTACCTTACAGAGCTGAGAACTGTTAGAAGTTTGTATGAAGCATACAAAATTATGTATTTCTGAAACTAGGGGCTGGAGAGATAGCTCAGCAGTTAAGAGTGTGTACTATTGAATGTGGTTCCCATATCAGGTGATTCACAACTGCCTGTGACTCCAGCCTCCAGGGATCCTATGGGTCTGGCTTCTGCGGGCACCTGCACTTATGTGCATAGCACACACAAACAATTAAAAATAATAAAAATCGATATTTAAAAGAAATGACCAAATTTGATTTCCCAAGAATGCTTTGCCCAGCTCCCTCACAGGGAGACTTAGAAATGCATGGTGAGTGGAAATCAATAAGACCAATCAATACAGAGCCTGAAGTCTCAAACTACGACTTCCAAATCAGCCTGAAACCACTTCAAACAGGGAGATACTGAATCTGGACTTGTGTGGCAACATTCACAACTGCAGTCACTGCTACACTTATTCAGGTATTAAAAATACAGTAGCACCAGGATATAGTGTGGAAAATGGATTATGCCTCAGAGAAATGGGATTAAGAGAGAACCTTGAACTTCACCTGCCCCTTCCTTTTAGATGATTCTATGTGAGAACTGGATCTTTATAAATAGTAAGTATTCTTGCACCAGTATAATGTGAACAGGTCTTTATAGAACCCCAGGGAAAGATGGGAAAGGTCATTCCACACAATCAGAAGAGAAGGGTAGCCAGCTAAAGAATGGATGGGCAGCAGGAGTGGTGGTACACATCTCAAGCAGGAGGATCAGGAGTTCAAGGTCACCCCCCCATAAAAGGACCTTCAAAGCCAGCCTGGGAGATTTAAGATCCTGGCTCAATGGCAGAGTGCTTTGCCTCACGTGTGTGAGGTTCTAAGTTCAATTCCTAGCACTGCAAAAATTAAAACAACAAAAGCATGGATTTGCTCTAAAGGAGTGAAAGATATATTTACCTTCTAGCGCTCTCTTGTCATTTTTAAAAACTTGTTGTCTTGTCCTGTGCAGTGTTCTGAAGAGCTGTAAAACCTAGTAAGGAAAAGCAGAATTTAGGACTGAGGAGATGGCTCAGTGGATAAAGCATATGCTCCACAATCAAGAGGCGCTGAGTTCAAATCCCTAGAATCCACAAAAACAACAAAAACAAAAAACAAAAAAAAAAACAAAAACAAAAACAAAACATGACAGTGCACATCTGTAATCCTTGCATGCTTACGGGAAGGTGACAGCAGACACAGAAGAATTCCAGAAGCTCAAGAGGTTCTTGAGCTAGCTTGCCATATGAGAAGAGTCCCTGCCTCAAACAAGGTGGAAGGCAAGGACCAACACCTGACGCTTTCCTCTGACCGCCCCCCCCCCCCACACACACGAAATAGGGCTGGAGAGAGGACTCAGAGGTTAAGAACACTAGCTGGTCTTCCAGAGGTTCTAAGTTCAATTCCTAGCAACCACATGATGGCTCACAACCATTTGAAATCTGGTGCCCTCTTCCGGCATGCAGGGAAACATGAGGACAGAACTCTGTATACATAATAAATAAAATCTTTATAAAAAATAATAAGTAGGGTCCAAGATCACTAATGCAGAAACTGACTTAGTAGAGCCCATTCTATATGGAGAGATACCTTGCCCAGACTGACACAGGGATGTGGGTTTGGAGAGGTGCTTTGGTCCTGCCTCAATGAGATGATAGGACAGACTTAGTAAACTTCCTAGGAAGGCCTTACCCTCTCTGAGGAGCAGACGAGAGGGGGGAGCGGGAGAAAAAAAGGGAGGGGGGACTGGGATTGGAATGTAAAAAATAAATTAATTTTTTAAAAGTAAAACTAAAAACAGTAAGATTTTATGCTTAAGAAAAATCAGCCAGACAACAATGGTAAATGCCTTTAGTTCCAACACTCAGGAGGCAGAGACAGGCAGATCTCTGAGTTGGAGGCCAGTCACTACAGAGTGAGTTCCAGGACAGCCAGGACTACTACACAAAGAAACTCTGTCTCAACAAACCAAAAGGAAAAGGAAAAGGAAAAGAAAATCACATTTTACATAACGTTTAGAATATCGTATTTGTTTTCTATTTATTTCTAAAAATTATTTTCAGAATAGCTGGTAAAAGCAAGAACTTGCAAAATAAATTCCTAGTTATTACCTCTCTTTAAGTTCAAGAACAAAGCAAGGTTGGACTGTTAAACAGAAACCCTACTCAAAAACAAATACCTATCCCATCCCCCACAAAAAGCCAAAACCAAACCAAACCAAACAGGGGAGACGGCTCACTGGTTAGGAAGATGTACCATTGTTCTTCCAGAGACCTCAATTTGGTTCCCAGCACCCACATCAAGTGGCTCTCAACCACCTATAACTCCTTCCTCTCTCTCATCCCCTTCCGCAAGCATGCACACACACAACACATGCACAGACATGTGATTAAAAAAAAAAAAAAGTAGCAGTTGGAGGTACAACTCGGTGGTACAGTGTGCAACCTCACACAGGTAAGGCCCAGGGCTCCTGGGCTCCATCTGGCACCAAAATGTTAAAAAACTGTATTTAAAAATTGCTGAGTTCTATGAAACAAACAATGATAGTCAAAAACAAAACAAAAACACTAATCTTCTAATCCAAGTGTGATGGCTCATGTCTATGAATCTGGCACTGGGGGTGAGGGGCAGGAGAATTAGCGCAAAGTAGCCTCTGCTGTGTAGTGAGTTCAAGGCCAACATCTGTCTCAACAATACCCTCAAAACAAAATAAAAGCCTTAATGGTCCTGGCAAAAATCTAGTGTGCCAAGGTAGTGAACTTTGCCAGTTTGCACACATTTATAGCTTTCTTAACCTATACCTTTCATCTACTCTTGAATCATACACAACCAAGAACTTTTCCTATCCCAAGAGCCCAGGAAATGTCTCATACAACTTAGGGAAGTGAAAAGTGGAAGGATGCTGAGACTTCTCAACATCTCAAGTCTGTGGGTAGTGAGTGCACACAACCCTGGCCTTTTGGTAATAACATGAAACTAGAAAGGATAGTGATGGGGGTAGGTTAAAAATCAGAGAGGAGGGAATGGAGATGAACTTTACACACATAAGCATGTATCAAAGTCTCAAAAATAAAAAAAGGGGCTGGAGAGATGGCTCAGTGCTTAAGAGCACTGGCAACTCTTCCAGGGCCTGGGTTTAATCCCCAGCACCCCATATGGCAGCTCACAGTTCCAGGGATCTGACAACCTCACACAGACATACATGCAATACCAATGCAATAATAATAATAATAATAATAAACTAAAATAGTTAAAGATAATAAAATAGAAACGCACCTTAGATTTAGGGATGGGGAGACAGCTCAGTGATTAAACACTGGTAGTACAAGGGTGAGGACCAGAGTTTAAATCCCCAGGACCCACAAAAACGCAAGGTGCATTTCCAGCCTTGGAAGGCAGAGACAGAGGATGCCCAGAGCAACTGGCTACCAAGACTACATAATCAGATTGGAGACCTCTGGGTTCAGTTGAGAGACCCAGCCTCAATAAATATGGTACAAGAGTGATAGAAGTATTCATACATGCACACATGGACTCACAAGTACACACATGAAAATGGAAAAAATACTTAAGATTTATTTTGAGCATTGCAGATTTAGTTTTTTTTTTTTTTTTTTTTTTTTTTTTTTAAGGCTTGGCCTGACTTGAAGACAATCACAGGAAATGAACAGACTATGGGGGGATGAGGAACAATAACAATCTAAAAATGTGGGAGTGGCTTTGGGGTTGAGTTATATGTACAGAGAGGATTTTTCAAAAGTGCTTGACAATAAGAGCTGATTGCCTTGCAAATATTGTTGATAGGAATATGAATTTTAAAGGTACCACAGCAGACTGTGTTTAGAGCATGTAGTGGGCCTTGAGCTCATTTCTCAGCACTACTATATGTATATGTATATAGAGACACACACACAGACACACACAGACACACAGACACACACACACACCTGTAGTCTCAGCATCTTGGGAAGTAGAGAAGGGAGATCACTTGATCCCAAAGTCAAAGTTTAAGACCACAGCAAGACCATAGTCTCAAACCAAACAGCAACCTCAGTAATTTTATGTAGTACCTAAGGGGTTGGAGGGGGTGTTCCATTAACATAAAAACAGCACCACTAATTTAAGACCATTATCCTAACAAAAACAATATGGGGGCTAGAGAGATGGTTCTTAGGTTAAAAGCACTGGCTGCTCTTACAGAGGACCTAGGTTCTTCCCATCACCCACATGTCAGCTGACAACCATCTGAAACTTCATTTCCAGGGAATCTGAGGCCCTCTACTGACCTCTGTGGGTACCAGGCACAAACATGGTACACATACATGGAGGAAAAACACCATGAACATAAAATGAATTTTTAAACATTCTTTAAAAAAGAAAATGCCGGGGGCTGGAGAGATGGTTCAGAGGTTAACAGCATTGGTTGCTCTTCCACAAGTCCTTAGTTCAATTCCCAGCAACCATATGGTGGCTCACAACCATCCGTAATGAGATCTGGTGCCCTCTTTTGGCCTGCAGATACATGCAGACAAAACACTGTATACATAATAAATAATCTTTTTTAAAAATGCCATCTTTGGAACCAATATCACATTGGAGCTAACAAAATAATTATTTATTATTTATGCAGTGTTGGACATGGAACCCAGGGCCTCGAACATGCTAAGCAAGGGTTCTACTATACAACCACATCAGTACTAAAAAACTTCTTTTCATATGCAAAAAGTAGCTGGGTGTAGTGGTTCACACCTGTAATCCCAATACTTGGCATGACAAATGCTGAGTTAGAAGCCTTCCTGGGCTACACAGTAAGTCTGAGATCAGCCCCTCCTATTTCCCAGTTAAACTTCACATTTTTGTCTATGGTTCCTTGTAATTGCACTTATTTCCTTTCTAAATTTTGAGACAAGACCGTTTCCTGGGATAGCCATGAACATATAGGCACAGCAATGCTGCCTAGAGATTTCTGTATTCCTCTTGATAAGTTAGATCCTAGTTACAGGTTCACAAAACATGCTGTGTTTTTAGTTTGAAGAACTTCCTACGATTTTATTAATTGTTTATAATATTCCTTCTACTGGTCTTCTTTATGAAGGCAAGGGCAGTCAGTTTATGGTCATCACCCTCCTCCACCCACCATCTTTCATGGTTGTCACCCTTCTCTCCCTCTGCCCTCATGGTCGTCACCCCCTTCCACTGATCCCTCTCACGGACAGTCTCCATCCTCACCGCCCCTCAAGGTTGTCACACTCCCTCCTCCACTCTCCGCCCCTCAGGGTCACCTCCCTCCCCTGCCGAGGGTCCTGATCTTCAGCCTCCCTGCACCCTCCTCCCTCCACGGAATTGTCACCTTGGCTGGCTGACCCATGGCTCCCCACGCCGCAGCCACTCACTGCCTCTCAAGCCGCCCCCTCTCGGTAACCAATCAGGGCCGGGGCGTAGCCGGCAACGCTCCTGCATAGCAACCAATCAGAACGCAGCACCTCCTTCCTGGTCTGCTTCCTCTGCAGGACTAAGGCGTTTGCTAAGTAGAGCCGACATTAAAACCGCGAGAAGCCGCAGAGCCAAACTACCTAAAAGAGATCGGAAGTAACCGGAAGGAAGCCATGTTTGTTAGGGGCATGGTCCCTTCCGCCTTGCAGAGCGTGGCGCCCGCACGCCGGGTTATAAATTAATGTGTGACTTCCGCACCTGCTCGTTTTTACCTCCTGTTTAAGGGCGTGGGCCGTCTCTTAAACTTCCTGTATTTTAACGTTTCCCAGCTGTGATTGTCTCCTTGGAAACGGACGCAAACAAAAGCCAAGCCCTAACAAACACAGCCGGCACATATCAGAACGCTGACTCCTCAAAGCTCTGTTTATACATTCGCTTAATTATTCCCCCCGAAGGTGCGGCAGAGCTGCCGGCTCCTCACTCTCTGCATTATCATTAGCTTACTTACCTTGCCCTGCTCTTTGGTTTTGCTGAGGTAGGAAATCACTTATTATTTAAAGCTTCATTGTTATAACCATAAAAAATTCATAAACATTTTAACTTGGGACCTGCAGGCATGAATTAAATTTTCTACCTTGCTTCTATTTCATAATCATTTGCCTTCAACACTCCTGTAATATTAAAGGTTAAGTTTAGGTAAAACTGGCTATTAAGAATCAAAGATTTGGGAGCTGGATATGGTGGTACATGCCTGTAAGCCCAGCATTTGGGAGGTAAAGTCGGGAGCATCAGGAGGTCAATCACAGGGGAAAAAATAGGTGGTGGGTCGGTTGGTGGGGGATTTCTGGTCTACAGAGTGAGTTCCAGGACAGCCAAGACTCCAGAGAAAACCTATCTTGAAAAACAAAACAAAACAAAAAAATGTGTGGGCGGGTTTGGTTTGGTTTTTGAGCCAGGGTCTATAAACCTGCCTGGTTTGGAGCTTGCTATATAAATCAGGCTGGTCTCAAACTCACAGAGATCTGCCTGCCTCTGACTTCGGAGTGCTGGGATTAAAGTCAAACACCACTACATCTGTAATCTTCCTCAGAAATACCTTCTACTTTGAGACCTAGAATTGACCTAGAACTCACCAGTTAGGCTAGACTGTCTGGCCTGGCCTCAAGAGATTCTCCTGTCTCTGCCTGCCCGGTGCTAGGATTACAGATGTGTGAGAGCATGCCTAGCAAAGTCATCATGAGAACAGCGAGATAATTGTCAACTTTTTAAAAATGTTACTGATGTGTGGAGAGATGGATAAAAGTTGAGAATGCTGGCTTCAGGGCTGGAGAGATGTCTCAGCAGTTAAGAGTACTGGCTGCTTATCCAGAGGACCCAGGGTTCAATTCCCAGCACCCACATGGCAGCTCATAACTGTTGGTAACTCCTGTTCCAGAGGACCCAACATGACACCCTCACAGAGATATACATGCAGGCAAAATGTACATTAAAAAAAAAAAAGTGCTGGTTGCTCTTCCAGAGGACCTGAATCAATTCTCAGTACCCATTTGTTGTAACAGTCTGTAACTCCAGTCCCAGGGGATCCAACACCATCTTCTGGCCTCCAAGGACACCACATACAAATGGGGTAGATAAACACCCATGCACATAAAAATTTCAAAAAAATTGTTATGGAGGTTTTAGATTTACAGACAAGCATTTAATATAACCAATTAAATCAACTGTAGTGGCTACTGTATTTTATCCAAGAAACAATAAATTAGGTAGTCTATGACATTCAGTTATACTGCCTTCTGAGTAATTTTTTTTTATTGCATTTCAGTATTCTCTTAGTTAGGGTTTATATTGCTGAGATGAAACATCATGACCAAAAAGCAAGTTGGGGAGGAAAGAGTTCATTAGGTTTACACTTCCTCATCACTGTTCATCACTGAAGGAAGTCAGCACAGGAACTCATACAGAGCAGGATCCTGGAGGCAGGAGTTGATGTAGATAGAGGCCATGGAGGGATGCTGCTTACTGACTTGCTTCCAATGGCTTGCTCAACCCACCTTCTTATAGAACCTAGGACCAGCAGCCCAGGAATAGCACACCACCCACCATGGACTGGGACCTCCGCCATTGATCACTAATTGAGAAAATGCCTTATAGCTGGATCTCAAGGAAGCATTTTCTCAGCTGAGACTCCTTCCTCTAGCTGTGTCAAGTTGACACACAAACCCACTCAGTACAAGTACTATGGAACAATTTCTTTAAAAAATATAGTTTGTAGTAATAATTTCTGGCTAGAAAGTTAACCAAAAGCCCTTCTATGTTATTGGAAAATACAGTTCCTGTGGCTGGAGAGAAGGCTCAGTGCTTTACTGATCATGCAGAGGACCTGGGTTGAGTTCGCATCATCAACACAGGAGCTCACAACTATCTGTAATTCCAGTTCTGGGAGATCCTCTTCTGCCCTCCTACATACACGTGGTGCCCACAAAGCCATGCAAGAACACACACATATAAACTCTGAAAAGAAAATGTAGTTCTACAGTGCCCAAATCAGATCAGTGAGTCTTCCCTTAAACATGTTACAGCTCCTTCAGCTGTCCCACAGAAGAAGCAAGATGAGATAGCTCAGCACTATTTACTGGTCTGGTTATTCTGGGAACATGACCTTGTTTGCATCTGAACATGCAAACTGAACTGAAGAGACTCCAGAATTTAAGTTCACTGAACTAAGTGGTTGGCAGGATAATCACTCTCTCTCTCTCTCTCTCTCTCTCTCTCTCACACACACACACACACACATACACACACACACACACAAACACACACACACACACACACACACACACACGACACACGAAACACGAAAAAAGGATCTGTGCACTTAGCTGCTCAGATTTTCTCATTGTCTTATCTTGCAGGAACAAAGGTTTTGGGTAGGTGGACTAAATCAATATTCTGAGATGGGAATATTTTCTTGTGTTTTCTGGAGGACCTAATGAGTCACATTAAAAGTGGACGAAGGAAACTGGGAAAGTTTGAAGATGCTCATCTGCTGGCTTGGGAGATAAAGAGGCCACAAACCAAGGGAAGCATGGGAAAGACAAGGGGGTGGACTGCCCTCTAGAGCCTCCACGAAGAATGCAGCTTGGCTGACATGAGTTTTGCTCAGTGGAAACAAATTTGACTTAGGATATCCAGAATGCCACCCATCCATCATGTAAGCCAATATCTCTTACCCTTGCCTTGCTTGGTTATCAGATCTCTTCTCTCCTCCCTTTCAAGGGCCCTGTGGTTATGCTGGGTTCACTCAGATAATCCAGGAGTTTACCTATTTCAGGGTCCTTAATCACAGCTGCAACCTACTAACATAACATGCTCATGGGATCCCCCCCTGGGTCCCTGCTGGGGCATGGGCATATTCTGCTTACTTCATCCAGTTTGTGCGAAGCTAGTCAATAAGCTTGAAATGGAAGTGAATGGAGGAGGAGAAACAGTCAGGACATGATCACACAGGTTCCTATTATTCAAGAGAAGGATTTTGGATTTCATTGAGATAGAATGTTCTGGAATAGTATCAGTAGGAGAGTGACATCATGGTTTACATTTTACAAACATCATTTTGGCTGAGTGTGGAGGCAAGAAGGTTAAGAGTTTAAGGTCACCCCTAGTTAAATAACAGCTTCAGGTTCTGCCTGAGCTACAGGAGATCCTGTCTCAACAAAACTACAACATAACTGAGGAGACAGCTTAGCTGGAAAAGTGCCTGCTACATAAGCATGAGCATTGATCCCCAGTAACACAGAAGCAAACCCACTTATCTACACACTGGCCTCTCCTGGCTCTGAACTGTCAGTCATCTCTGTCAGTGACAGTTGGTTTTAGGTTATCTAGTACTCAATCAGGCTCAGTGGCTAACATCTGTGAGTGTTAGTAGTAACTTTATTTGCAAAGGGGCTGGTTAGTAGATATTTTCAGCTCTGTGAACCCATGGTGTCTGTCACTATTGGTTTGGTTTGGTTTGGTTCTTAGAGACCTGGCTGTCCTGGAACTTGCTCTGTAGACCAGACTGGCCACGAACCCACAGAGATCTGCCTGCCTCTGCCTCTGGCCAACGTCAATGTTTTTGAACTATACTACCATAGTCTAGTAGCAGCCACAGAAGATTGATAATGAATATGCGTGTTTGTCCTAACAATGATGGTATGGGCAATGGCATTGAGTCTAAATAGCATTTACAAATTATCACATACCTATAGTCTAATTTTTTTTTTTAAATCAAGTAAAGTTTTAGAGTCCTATAGCAGTTCGGTGAATGTAGTTTACAATAACCTATTTTCAGCCAGGTGGTGGCTGTAGCGCACACCTTTACTGCCAGCACTTGGGAGGCAGAAGCAGGCCGATCTCTGTGAATTTGAGGCCAGCCTGTACAAAACTATACAGGAAAAAACCCTGTCTTGGGAAAAACCAAAATAAATAAATAAATAAATAAAAGAATCCATTTTCTATCTAATGAATGACTATAAGAGTTCACAACCTCCACAACAATGTAAAGATAAAAGAATACTGATTAGTCTTTTTAAAATCAGTATACACTACGTATACGATTTGAACTATCAAATGCTTCATAAATATATACAACTTGTGCTAATTGAATTTTTAAAAAAACTTATTTTTATTTTATGTGTTTTACCTGCATGGATGTCTGTGTACCATATGCAGGAGGATACTAAACTAGGGCATCAGATCTTCTGGAACTGGAGTTACAGATGGTTGTGAGCCACTTTTAAGGTGCTGGGATTGAACCAGGTACTCTTGAAGAGCAGCCATGTTCTTAACCACTGAACTATCTCTCCAGTCCTAAGTAATTTTATATTTAGGAAGGCAGCCTGAGGTATTACACATATTTTGTCACTATGTGAATCAACACTGTATTTAATAAATATGTAACATTAATAATTCAGGGGCTGAAAAGATGGCTCAGTGATTATGAGCATGAACTATACACTTCTAAAGGACCTGAGTTCTGATCCCAGCACCCACACTGGGTGGCATCAAGTGTACAGGCATCTGACACCTTTGGCCTCTACAAGCACCTGCATTCAACTGCACATTCTCCCTTAGAATTAAATAATATATAATAATAATAAGCTGATCTTAGTGGTACATGTCTTTAATCCCAGTACTTGGGAGGCAGAGCCAGGCAGATCTCTGAGTTTGAGGCCAGCCTGATCTACAGAGTGAGTTCCAAAACAGTCAGGGCTAAACAGAGAAACCCTACTTGAAAAATAAAAATTATGTTTTCAAGAGTAAGCTGCAGACATAATACTCCTTTACCTCTAAATACCTAAGTGGGTTTGTAGACGGAGTTTTGT